CCACAATAAAAAATATATTGATACCTTTTGTACAAGATATACCATAGTTAAATAGAGTGTACTAAAATGTCCTTTACTAATGAATAGAATAGACTTTGTCAGGACATGGCTACATGAAATTGTTCTCTGCAGTTATTGGTGTTGCCACAACACTTTTTTTTTCCCGTGACACTGAAAATTCAAATCTTGTGAATTTCTCCCCATTTAAGGCATCCTGTTTGTCTTCTACAATTGTAACTTGATTGGTGATATTGTAATTAAAGCACTATATAGTTAGACGTCGTCTGGTGAATAGTTCTATTTGTATGCTAAAGTAGAATAAACGATTTATGCAGTAGATGTTGGCATCTTTGTAGGTTATTTTCTGTTCAATTATAATGGTTGCGGAGCTTTCGTTCGAGATGTTTTTAACGGTAATGATTTGGATTCAGAATTGTATTTGGTAATAACTTTCAATTGTAGTGTACAGAATTAATTTTATGTATATGGACATTCTGCAAAATCTTTTTTTGGTTAGAAAGTAAAGTTAATTCTATGTTAGAAGAACATTGTGACAAATAGCGTATTAATTCATTCCGTAAAGGAAACTACATTTCAATTATGGTAAAGTATAGCTTATGATTAAACTCATGCTTACTATTTTTTTTAATGTCCTGAATGGAAAATAAAATTAAACCTTTTTAATTCGTTGTGGATTGTACATGAATTCAGTATTTTGTATCCTTTTTAATATGTGGCAAAGACTCTCAAGAAAAAATGACTGGCTTTCTAGCATAATGAGTTCTTAAATACTTAAAAATGTTAAACCAAAATCCTTTTTTGTTCTGTTTGATATCAAAGTCATTAAATCACTTTTTGTAATTTTATAATGAGCCTCCTATAAATAGACTTAAACTACTTTTCTCTCTGTTACTTAAAAATTATTTTTTTCGCAGGAAAATAACTGAAAAATTTAATTTTAATAATATTTCTTTTGCAGATTTTTTTTCCACCTATGCCTTTGATACTTTCACAAACAACCTTTAAATAGATTTTTTTGGAAAATATGCTTTAATGCTTTTAGAGCAGTCAATACAATATTGATATCGAAAATAAATACGAGATGTTAAAAGCTTTGACTCTGTTCTAATGGATATTGAATTCCATATAAGCTTATAATGTTTACATATTACAAATTCCATGAAATTACCATTAAAGTCAAATTCTTTTGATGTCGAAATGTAAGCAAACAAAATTAAAATGCATCAAAAATTCTGCTGCTTGAAAATTTCTCTGAAATGTTTGAAGTCTTCCTAGCCTAATGTCATTAAAATAAACAAACTAAATTTCTTTGTTAAGCTTGTTAAGATAAGAATATTAACGCAGAAAATAATTTGCCTGAAGGTCTCTTATAATTATTATCAATTCAATTAGCTGACTGAAAGTTCTGTGCTTCTTAAGGTTTTCATTTTTCGTCGAAGATTAAACACAAATACCGAGAGTCAAGATTTTTCGAAAAATTTCCGAAGAGCGTCTTAAGGTTTTTGGCAAACAATGTCTGGCCGGAATGTTGTCTTTACAAGACAGTGTGCCACTGTGTTCGTCTTTTACCTGAAAAGTTATTAGAAGTTCTCGATTATTTTGTTTTCTTTCAGAAGAAGGCCTTTCTTTAAGTTTATTTTCTTTTTCGGTTTCTCATTAAAGTCAAAATTTAATACAGAGATAAATGTCTCTTTAAATTCTGAAGATCTCCCAACAAGATTTGATAACAATGTTGAAGGGAGATTCTGTTTTGTTTTTACTATACACGTTTAACGAAGCTAGTTGTTAAACTTTGTTTAATTAATTCTTGAATAGACCGAAAGAACATCGGGTGTTTTTTTTGTTTTTGTTTTCTTTTGTCTTTCATAAGCATCGGAAGTTTAATAAATATCGGAAGTCCTCTTAATGAGAACCAATTTTTTATAAGAATTTTTTTTCTTTTCAGTGTTTCATTCTATGCAGATATCTAACTACTTCAGATAAAAAAAATCACTGGTTGATTGCGAAAGGGCGATTCTGAGAAGCTTTAAACCTGTAGCTCTTGTAGATGAAAAAGGGTGTAGCATTTTTACCACGAAAAAAAAGTTGTGGCCTTTATTTCCCAGGAGAGAAACATGTACACAACAATACAAGTCCATAATAACCTTTCACTCAAATTTCACAGCATATAAGCAGTATTGTGGATATTGATAGTATATGCAATTAGTGTTTTGTACTAATGAGAACAACCTGTCACTCAAATCAGCAGATATTCACTGTCATGTATAATGAGACCTCGTGAAATTAGAGATTACCGGCTAGAACTTCACAAATCGAAACTTTTACTGATGGGATGTGAATTACGTCATGATAGATTATGGGCTGAGAAAGTGTTTACTCTAATCAGAAGTGAGGGGAAATTGACCCCCCCCCTTTTAACGGATTTTCTTAAAGAACGGTGTTTGGAGAAGAAAGAAGGGAGTGCTGCGACGAGTCGACCAGAAGTGTGGTCTTTTTCTCTGAAGTGACTGAATAGGCCAGAGTATTCGCCTGTTTTCTAAAGTGAGCCTCTTGTGGTTTCGTGTGCCACGCAGCGTGTTAATTACGGTCTGCCGCAGACCTGGTGAAATAGATTCGCCGTAGACTCTGAAAATGCTGCTGAATGAACTGCTGTCCATTTATCTTTATCATTTTTTTTTGTAAATAAAGTTCTGTATATATAATAATGTTTGCAAATAGAAATTAAAGTGTTCTCATGAACCTGAAAGTGGCTCTCTTCTTCCACTATAGATTCCGCTTAAGCCGTTATAGGTCAAGTATAGGTAGAGACGTTACAATATACTGATACTTTTTCTAAGTATACCCTATAATACTAATGAAATAGATTGCACACAGGGTTGCCAGCTGGAAGTCAAGTTTACCAACTTACGAACGACAGAATGTAACGCAATGATAGAACACGTCAGCAACTGACTTGTTTCTTTTCCCATTGAATTTCATGAGAAACAAATGGTTAAATATAGCGTCAAGAGATTTGTGATAGGACTTTTGCAGTTAAGTAGCAATTGCTTTATTGAATAAATATAGAGCGTTTGAAAAGAAATTTTATTGAATTCATGCGATTCATATGATTTATATCATGGCTTGTATATAGCATGCTAAATAGATAATTTTTGTTTTGATAGATAGCTATAATAATAATCACCTTTTGATCAAAAGTCATTTTAACTCGTTTAGATTTGGTTTTCGGTATGTATTTCAGAATTTTGTTGTTTAAAAAATGCGATTGTAGCTCGGCGATGCTTTTGGTGACTATTGGTATGATTTTTATCATGACTTGTAGCAAGCTAAATAAATAATTTTTTTTTTATAAATAGCTATAATCATCTGTTGACAGGAAATCATCATTAAATCATTTAAAATTGTTTATAGGTATGTATTTCAGAGTTTTGTTGTTCAACACATGTGATTTTTTTTGTTTGATATATGGTAGCTCGGAGATTTGTTTTGGCGACTGTTGGTGCGATTTATATCATGTCCTGTATCATAATGTAACAAGCTAAATAGATATTTTTTATTTTGATGAATAGCTATAATTATCAACTATTGAACACGGGTCATTTTTAACTCATTTAGAATTAGTTTTAGACATGTATTTCAGAGTTCTGCTGTTCTACATATGCGATGGTAGCTTGGCGATTATTGGCGCTATAACGATTTTCGAAACAAATGCTTCATCAAAAAAAAAAAAAAAAAAACAACTAAATAAATGTAAAATGAATGTTTCTAAATGTATTTGTTGTCAACAGCCCCAGTTTGGGCCAATTCTGTCTGCCTACTGTCACATTTCGAGACAGGAGATGTTTTCTTTTTTACGGGGTAGGGTTGCCAACCTACCCCGTAAAAGCCCGGCGTACACTAATAATCGCATTAGACCGGGATATACTGCTTAAGGCTCGTGCTCACCAAGGCGACAAGATGCAAGCGAAAAAATTTGACCAATCACTAGCCTCACCGCGGTCGCCTGAAACCGGTTTGCAGTTCGCCACTTGGAGTTGCCTAACTTTCAACTCGAAGCGGTTTTTCACTAGGCGAAATGCTATTTCTGACGTTTCGCTGTGAAGGGGTCGAAAAAATTTTGTCACTTGCCTCTTGAATCTTCACGTCTCTCGCCTTGGTGGGAACGAGCCTTTAAAGTGGATTCCGAACCACTACAAACATCTATAGCTTCATCGGGACTTGAATACCAAAAACTGTGGCATTGAGTGCTAGCCACTCGGCCGTCAGTTCCCAACCTGTTCCCTAATAACTCTTTTTATGGAAAGAGATTCATTCAAAATGAACGAATTTTCATTCAAAACTTATTAATTCGTAAAGATAATTTAATCAGCCATCTTTATTTAATAAAATTATTTATTCTAATTTGGAAAAAAGGTGACATCTTCGTTTTTCAAAAACTAGCTTTAATAAGCAATTCATATTTGGAAAGGAATGTTTCAAGTATTTTGAATAATTATGATGCGATGATTAAAAGATGCGAGGCTTTTGAAAAAAGAGTTACTTATTACTGAATTTATTTCGATTTAGAAATTAATCTATTGAATCTACATCTGCAAATGTCTACTTTTAATTTGAGAAATGAAAGGAGAAATAATAATTTATCAATTAAGCAATTTGCATACTATTTATCGCTGAAATAAGTTTTCTTTCATATAGGCTTTAACGTAATTAGCTTTAAACAAAGTAGTACTTATAAAGTATTGGAAAAAAAAAAGATTTTCGAAAATTTAATCTAGAGGAATGTTTTCTGAAATTTTAATTACTATGCATTGAATTAGGAGTATTTTGTTTTAGAGATTAATTTACAAAAATGATCAGAATCAAAAGCAAAGATCTACAAATTTTCTTTATTGCTAAAACTCTTAATTTTTCTGAAATTTTTTGGTTTCATTTTTTATATATTAAACCCTTTCTATAAATAACTTTTGTCTTTACGGGCCGACGGCCATACCATGCTGAATATACGTTCTGCTGACAATGCTGAATAATCGTTAGATCACCGAAGTCAACATCATTGGGCGCGTTCAGTACTTGGGTGGGTGACCACCTGGGAACACCGCGTGCCGTTGGCATTCACAAATTTGGAACCTGAATGGCCGAGTGTCTAGCGCTCTGGCGCTCGGTGCCACAGGTTTCGGGTTCGAGTCTCGGCGGTACCATGGATGTTTGTAGTGGTTCGGAATCCACTTTTAAGCTGTAGGTCCCGGTCTCCTATGACTGTAAGAGCGTCACGGAGCCAAAGTCAGACTTCTACCTACGGGTGCTCCATCACAACAGAAGCTGCTTCCCTCACCTTCAATCATGAGTACGTATGGGCTTCGTGGGCTTGGCCAGCCAAGTGGGATAAGAAACAACAACAACAACAAACACTTTTGTCTTTTTCAATTCAACGCGTTTCCAGTTTTCAACGAAATATAATCCAATAAAATTATAGTGTATATGAAAAAAAATCGAGGATAAAAAGAAAAGAAATGAACATGCTAGATTTTCATGAGGAAATCTTTGAAAACTGAACTATCAAGAATTGTAAATTTAGTAAATTATTTTTAAAAAAAAGAATGTTATGATGGAAAATAATACATTTAAATTTATTTTCTCGCGTTTTTTATTTACTTTTGTAAAAATTTAATTAAAAGTGGGAATTATAAAATTTTACCATTTAACGTGTTTTTAGAAAGAATGTGAATCTTTTCAGTTGTATTATTATTAAATACATCTATAATAAGTATTATAAAAATGTATAAATTTATGCGCAGTTTTTTAAATTTTAATAATCGACATTTCATTTAAAAAAATGACAGATGACAATATATATGCTGTTTTTAAATGCCAAAAGCTAATGTTATTTACTGAAATGTAGGGTTATCTGAACTGATGTTATTTACCATTGAAACGAAAGATATTTAGCACATTCAACCTTATTCAGGATGCACTTTGGGGTAAGTAACTTTTCCTTTATATTTTGCTAACTCAGAAAAAAATTTCCCTAGGGTTGAAATCTGGATTGTTATCTCACACTCTCCTTCTGCCTCTTCAGCGGCCTGATGGCCAATTGGCTAGTGCTCTGGCCTTTGATACCACAAGCTTCAGGTTCGAATCCTGGCAGTGGCATGGATGTTTGTGACTGATTCGGAATCCACGTTTAACTGTAGGTCCCGATCTAATTAACCTAAAGTGCCCACAAAATGACCGTAGAGCTCAAAATCAATCTCTTCTTTTCTTCATTGGTGCAACAGCCCCCTAGTGGGCTAAGGCCGTCTGACTGCTGACAGATTTCGAGACAGTAGATGTTTTCTTTTCTCTTGGTAGGGTTGCCAGCCCTACGCCCAATGCTGTACGGTCTTATTAGGCGTTGACCTAGACTAAAATAGATTTCAAACCACTATAGCGTCTATGGACCGAGCGCCAGAGTGCCAGCCACTCGGCCATCAGGCCCCAACCCTAATAACTCGTACTTCTAGGGGCATCATTCAAAAGGAAATCATTCTAGGAAATCATTCAAAATGAATGAATTTGAATTCAAATCTTATTAATTCTTAAAGAAAATTCAATCATCCATCTTTATTTTATAAAATTATTTATTGGGGCAACGGACGTACCTGTTACGGAGTTCCTAGGTGGTTTTAAGAACCACAATACCTCCATATCTTAATTTAGTTAGAAAATTTGCATAAAATGAAATTGCTTAAATTATAGAATATTAATAAATAAAAATAGAACAATTAAAATTTAGGAAAAACATCTCTTGCTTGAGAACAATTAAAGCAAGAGATCGAAAAAGCTATAGGTACATAATTCTAATTTAAAAAACGATGACATCTTCGTTTTCCAAAAACTGGTCTTAATATGCAATTCATATTTGAAAAGGAGTTTTTGAAATACTTTTAATAAATAGGATGTGATTATTAAAAGATGCGGGGCTTTTGAAAATGAGTTAACTTATTACTGAATTTATTTCTCTTTAGAAATGAAACCTTTTGAATGTGCTCCTGCAAAAGTCTATTTTTAATTTCAGAAATGAAAGGAAAATAATATTTTATCAATTAAGCAATTTGCATACTATTTATGGCTGAAAGAAGTTTTATTTATACAGACTTTAACGTAATTAGCTTTAAACAAAGTAGTACTTGTAAAGTATAGAAAAAAAAACGATTTTAGAAAATTTAATCTAGAGAAATGTTTTCTGAAACTATAATTACTTTGCATTGAATTAGGAGTATTTTGTTTTAGAGATTAATTTACAAATATTAATTTACAATAGAAAGCAAAGATCTTCAAATTTTCTTTATTGCTAAAACTCTTAATTTGCTTAAAATAATCTTATTATGATCTGAGATTTTTGGTTTCATTTTTTTTTTTATATAAAGCCTTCCTATAAATAACTTTTTATCGTATCAAACACTCTAACGTATTTCAAATTCATATGTTTTCAACGAAATATAATCCAATAAAATCATAGTGTATAAGAAGAAAAAAAAAGAGGGTAAAAAAGAAAAAAAAATGAACATGTTAGATTTTCATGCGAGAATCTTTGAAAACTGAATTTATCTATTAAATTAGATTTTATCAAGAATTGTAAATTTTGTGAGCCATTTTTAAAGAACTGTTGTGAAGAAAAATAAAATATTTAAATTTATTTTCTCCCGCTTTTAAGTTAATTTTTAAAAATTTAATTAAAAGTGAAAATTATAAATTTTTACCATTAATGTGTTTTTTAAAAATGGGAATCCTTTCAGTTGTATTATTATAAATGTATTTCACAATAAACAATATAAAAATTTATAAATTTATGTCCTGTTTTTTTTTTTTAATTTTAAAAATGGATATTTAAAAAAAAATGACAGAAGGCAATATATATGCTATTGTTTTTAAATCCCAAAAGTTTTGAATTGATGTTATTTACCATTGAAACGAAATATATGTAGCATATTCAGTACGCACTTTGCCGTTATAGTTTGCTAACTCGGAAAAAATTCTCTCTGGGGTTGCTATAACACCCTCTACTCCCCCTCCTTTTCGGCAGCCTGATCGCCAATTGGCTAGCACCACAGGCTTCAGGTTCGAATCCTGACGGTGGCATGGATATTTGCTCCGAATTCACTTCAAGTCCTAGGTCCCGGTCTCGTATGGCCGTATATCGTCACAGAGTCCAATTAGACTCCTTCTCACCCATTAGCAAACAAAAAAAAAAACCCCTGTAGTGACCATTTATTATTTTATTTTTTGTTTATGAAAACTGTATTCTAAGTTTTATAAACCGTATTTTTTAGACATCATTAACAAACTGTGGGACCTGAATGGCCGAGTGGCTAGCGGTCGGTACCACAGGTTTTGGGTTCGAGTCCCGGCGGTGCCATGGTTGTTTGTAGTGGTTCGGAATCCATTTTAAAAAGTAGGTCCCGGTCTAATAAGACCACAGAGCGTTGCGGGGGGCATTGTTACTCCGCGTCCGTGGCTTATCTTCAAGTTACATGCACCCCCTGGGTAATGCAAAGTGAGTAACGTCTGTGCAGCACTTGCCTTAAGGCATCCAACACCAAGCTGTCTAAGTGTTTGCCAGCTGCATTAGAATAAAAAAAATCATTAACAAACTGTAAAGGGGCAACTCAGATCTAGTCACACTGATGTGGTGTGGTGTAGTAGTAGTAGTAGTAGTAGTAGTAGTAGTAGTAGTAGTAGTGGTTTGGTATCCACGTCAAACTGTAGATCCCGGTCTAATTAGCTTAAAGTGTGCACAAAATGACAGTATAGTGACAAACCAAATCCTCCTCTTTGAGCACCAAAGGGAGGACTTTCCTGCCTACAGGTTTATCCGGCCTAACTACGCTAAAAGTAGGATATAGTTTTGTTTAGCTTTTCATGTCGGGTTTCGAGCTGAGCACCCTAGTTTCATTCATTCTTACACACGACCCATACACCCATGAAATTATTAAATCTTCATAATAGTGGCCACCACTTTGATGGATCAACGTTGTCCTTCAAGATGAAAACTTTGAAAAAAAAAAAAAAAAAACCCCATTTTTTTTATTTCCTTATAAATGACAAAAAAAACCCTACTTTCTTAATTGAATTTTCTAATAAAAATCCAAAATAGCAAACATTTTAAACTAATCATTTTTTTTAAATGAAAATTAAATTTCTATTAAAGTATCCCTTACAAGTCTCTTTTTTTTTTTATTAATAAGTCTACATATACTGTTAACTTAGTAACAAAAAAAGGGGGATCATGAACCAGTGATTTAAGCTTCTTTGCACACAACTTATATTCAGATTTTGCTCTAAAATTCTGAAAAAATTGAATAAGTTTCCTATTTTCCCAGCTACTTAGTCTAAGTTTTTGCTACTATTAAATTCAAAGCATGCTATATATTTTGATTTATGACTGTCAAACCATTATAAAAAGAAGAGCCCCTGCATTAGCTAACTGTAGCATGCCTCTGACTTTTTGACAAAAAGTCCTTAAACTTTTCCATAAAATATGTATTTTTTGTGCCCCTAATACATATTTTATTGAGGAATTTCAGAAGTTACTGTTTTATCCTTGGAAGGGTTTCAGACTTGCTGTAGTGACCATTTATTTTTGTTTGAAAACTGTATTCTAAGTTTTATAATCCTTATTTTTTAGACGGCTCTAAAAATAATACTGAATAAATGCTTGATAATGTAGTTTGGAAACTAACGCTTTTAATAAATGCTTGATTATGTAATTTAGTTTTTTACGTGTCTTAATTTTTATTATTAATGATTTTAATAAATTATGTAATTTAAAAAAACTTATTTTATTAAATACTTGATTATTTAATATAGGAAAGCTATCACTTTTAATAAATATTTCTTTATGTGATTTAGATAAACTAACGGTTTTAATTAATGTGTGATTATGCAATTTAGAAAAACTATGAATTTTATGAAATGCTTGTAATTTAGGAAAACTAGGACTTTTAATGAATGCTTGATTATGTAATTTAGATAAAACAGTTTTAATGTCTAATTATTTAATTTAGATGATTGAGTATGCAATTTAGGTAAGCTAATAATTTTAATAAGTGATTTATTATGCAATTTAGA